CAGAGCATAGAAAGTCTAGGTGCAATCCAGTAGGACAAGTACTAATTATACAGTACCAGAAGATGTCCTACAAATATATTATTATGTCAGAACCGCTGAAGTCCTCGTACGCCACCAATAAGAAGCTTACCTAAAACCTAGAAGGGCGCAAAACAGAAAACGTGAGTGGGCAAAAACAAATGTTTTATAAAACCACTTCATTTCTCGAAAGTTCTAATCCCTCGCCGTAAAACATGTATAATTTTCCCAGAAATAGAATATAAACATATGCATATATATATATATATATATATATATATATGTAAATATATCCATTCAAATCATGCTTCACATATTCGTAATCATAAGTATACCATACCAAGATGCAAACAGAATAAGTAACTCATGTGAGAATAAATTCATGGAAAATAACATGTTAGTCGAAACCCCTGCATAAGTCTGTACGGCTGAATTCATAGCTCATTAGTCAATCTAGCTGGAGTCACTACAATGACCTATATGGCACTACACTACACACGAGTCGGAACCACTAAAAAGGTTTGTATGACAATTCTGGGTGTAATATAGTTATGCTCAATACTATGCTCTCATGATAGCTAGACGATAAATCACTAGTCACCTACGAGTTGGAACCACCTATGATGGTCTGTACAATAGGACAGTGCACCTAAATTGGATCCAATGTGAGCATATGGTGTGGGATGTGACATTAATAACAGGCATGTGCCATATCTCTAGCTAAATCACAATCACCCTAGGTGCAGGTTTATGAGCTCTAAGTTACTCAATTATTCACAACTTTAATCACATTCACAATTCATAACTCACTTAGGCTTACCTGAGCGTCCACAGCACCACAATTATATATATGCATCATATACTAATTCATATACGAAATATAAATTTATATGCATGGCATTCAAGGCATACTTTCATTTAAACGTATTTTATGGGAAAATATCAAGTATATAAGTATATACTGAAAACCAAAAGCCCACTCACTGGTATGTCAAAGGGTCATAACCCCCAAGTCACCCTTGACTGTGCTCGTCCTGGGGATAAGTTTCACCTATATGCGAATTAATTGAATAAACGTTAATTTAAAGCACATAACCAAAACTAACTAATAACTTCTCATACATTGCTCAAATGGGATGTTAGAATATACCAATGTGATCTACACAACTCCATGAACATCCCCATATTTTTAGAATAATTTTCTGACCACCTACGCACCCTCACGCACCGGCCAAGGCACAGTAACACACGCGGCCACGAGCAGGGAACCCTAATGGAAACCCTAACTGCCTTTAGGAATATTCCGTTAAACTAACCAATGCTGTTAGGAATATTCCATCAATCATCCCCTACCTCAGAACTCCGGCGACCGTCGCCGTCGCCGGAAAACTGGGAATTTTTCAAACTTCCATTTCTCGTCCATTTCTCAGTCAAATTTCATGAAACTTAAACCAATTTGAAGCTTGACATGAATAGAACACAACCATGCCTTTTAAAAGCCCTAAAACCCACGGGATTCGCTGGAAAACTCATTGACACTCCGGCCAAACCTGCAACTCGTCGAATCTCACTACTCCGACGTCCAAAATCTTCCAACGAACCACTCATAGCCTTGTGAGGACCTCCTTAAGCTACCTATAAGCTTGAAATCCCCAAAAACATGAGATTTTATGTTTGCATGAATAGTACCTTAATCGGAGTTCGAGAGAAACTAGGGTTTTCGAAGGAGTTCTTACCTAAAAATGGTACCATTGAACTCATATGAACCTCAGGGACACGATGGTGTACTTTAAACCCTCGATCTGCAACTTTCCATTCGTGTTGTTGTTGGTCCGTACATGAGGGAAGGAGAGAGAGTGAGTTCGAGGGAGAGAGAGCACGGGAGAGAAGAGAGAGGAAGGGTTTGTGTGTGTGTGAGTGGTCCACGTGGTCACCAACCAAAACCACAAAACCTAAGTGCTACTTTGGTCCAAAAATTAAGGAAAAACATAAGTTTGGACCACCCCTAACATGCATAACACACATCACGACACTCACGTCCAAGGGTAAAATAGTCAATTCACGTCATCGATAATTTATTTCGGGACGGGTTGTGACAAAAACTCTCACCTTTTTGAAAAATGACATTATTCAAATTAATTAGTTTATATAATATATAATAAATTATTCAAATCCATTTCTTCCGCCTAGGTGCGCATACGAAAATTACTATCCTCTACACTCTACTATTTTTCCTAGTTGTAAGATGTTGTCTCTGTAATCCAACCATTCATTCATTTATTGAATGTAATAAGTAACATTGTAACGATAGAAAAATGATTGGAATTTGGCGTACTGGGTAGGGACTTCTCTTTCGGTTTGAATTGGTTGAAAAATTAGATTATGTAAACTTAATAAGTGCATTTGCATCTAAAAATGCGAGACGGGTAATATACTAATATTTGAGTAATGTTTGTATATTTTTCTTCTTTTGATATTAATTTTTAATGATATTTTATATAGAATAGACTTTTTATGTATTTAGTGAATTGTTTTTACACATGTCAATGTACAAAGGGTCGGGAGTTAGAGAACTCTAGGGCCTTATTTCAAAGGCTCGTCTAGGGCCCCCAAATTCTCAGGGCCAGCCTGCACCTGGGCAATCTCGAACAAATAATTAGCATGCATGCACCAACTGCAGCAGCCACCAGCACCAAATGCATATAACAAATAACTAAAAGCGATTTCAAATCACCAAATGCGCTTCTCATCACGTTTGGCAGAAAAAGTTACAAGTTCTTCTTTCAAGAAACACTTTAGAGCTTTTTCAAGAGGCACTTGCACTTCTAATAGAAATGAAGTTACTAGAAGTTCCCTTGAACAAAAGTGCTTTCTAAAAAAGCACTTCCAAATGGGCTAATTAAGTCACCGGAAGAAATTATTGCCAACGAAGAAGAGAGTAGAGCACTAGTAGAGGGCCAAAACCAGCCATCGGATAAAACACAGTACAACTAAACAAATAAATAAATGGCTAAGTACAATTAAATTGAAGCCAGATCACGCTTCAGGTAGACAAGCCTAAAAGGAAAACACTTCACTTTGAGCATGCACATGCTGCTAGTTCCTCCACCATGCGCGCGCTGGTTCATTACGAGCATAAACCTCTTGCATTTCAAGCACAATTTGGCAGCGACCTTCCGATCGACCATCATGCTCTTGTTCTTTTTCGTTCAAGTCTCAAACCAATATATTATTGGTTAAGGAGTTGAGGTTGCACATCTAAAGACATCCTCGTGACGACATTTGGGTCGTAACAATCTTCAAAGATATGACATTCAGTAATGATCAGGCATATGATCACTGGCGAAGCTACGGCAGAGCAAGGAGGGGCGGCCGCCCCTTCAGTTGTCGGAATTCAACACTGAGAACAAGAATCCGCCCCTCTGCAATCGCTGCTTTTGTGCTTGAAGAGCACCAAGAAATAATCAGAAAACCACAAATTCTGAGGAGCAGGAATTTGAAGCCCTAAAAACGACGACTTACAAAGGAGATTTGGTTGCCTATCTTCTCCGATTAGGAGGAAAACCAGAAGATGAGGGCGTTACTATTGCAAGGGAAACACGATCGTCTTTTGCTTTTGACTTTTTAGCCAAAATTGGTACTGTACATGTTGTGATATGTCAAAACTGCCGCTGGACCTAATACCCGGCCCATTAGGTACTACACCCTAATGCTCAATCATGAAAAATGATCCCGACCAAAGATTTGATATATTAACTAGTAGTATAGTCACACATAAAAGATAACATCATCAACAATTTTTACGACCTTTGTTTTTTTCTTTTTGTCTTCATTCTCTTGTTTATGTCACTTAATATTTATTACTTCATTGAATGCAAATGCTATAAAAAAAAAACAAAAAAAAACTAATGAAAAGAGCTTGAAAACTTTGAGTTTTAACGATAAGGACAAAATAAAAGGTAAGGTGAATAGTACTAGGATTGACTTTTTAGTGTAAAAATGTGGTTTTTTTGTTAAAATGAACAAATACCGAGAGATTTTTGTTAAAATTCCCAAAAAACGAAGGATTGAAAGGTAGAAAATGACACTGTGAATATTATTTCCCATATATTAGAGAAAAATAATATGAAGACTAAGAGGTGCTAAGACTACAAATTAGTGTATAAGATTCTTACATTGGATTTAGTGTTACCAGTTACAACTGATTCGGTGGAGATAGCGTTTTCGCCCCTCTGCCCGACAATTCCTGGCTTCGCCACTGCATATGATCACCTTTGCAGCTACTAGTACTTCTGCTGGTACTGTTAATGTCGTTGATCATGAACAGTCGAACCTAATTATTAGTCTTTCTCTGAAAACCCCGCCCAATTCAACATTCCATCGTAAGCAAAGCTAGCTAGTACGTGGAGTTAGAGTAAAGAACATCGCAGATTCGCAGACGAGCCCAACTTACACAGTACAAATCCATGTCACTATACATTCCTACCACAACTGGCTCTTGCTTCAAACCATGGAACCTGTGAGTTTTTTGAAGACCAATACAAATTCAGGGAGATCGTCGATATTGCCATCGGGTTTCATAAAATTTGAATTTGATGCTCGATTTCATTTTGTCGAGGGTGATGATCCTACTAAGTGATGGATATGATCATAGGCTAGTCCTCCAATGGACGACATAGATCTACTCACTCCTTCGTTAGCATACCTATCATGGTGGCCGAAACGAGAACCAACTAACTGATATCTAGGGTTCTTACTCCAGACGATACAAGATAAATGCCTTAAATTTAAGAGGGCCACATCTCTCCTCAATTCATCCGAAAAGATGGAGCCTTGAAGCATTATATGTAACGAACCAATTAGTTTCCAATACCAAATACCAAATCTGCACAATATCGTGTACTTCATCTCATTGGCCCACTACAAGCGTATTCGCTTGGTTACAAAATAGTAAAACTGACAAGCAATACAGACACAAGATATAGCAAGGGGGACAGTGACATAGATCCATTGCTCATGATCAACCAAACTAGTGATCTTTTCCACAATAACATTTTTGATAGATACATTGGGCAAGTCATCTCTTACCATTCTTTCTTTTCATTGCATGAATTGGTTACATGGAGGTCATCCAGAGAATTGACTCAAGCCCATGCAGGGCCTTGTTCGATCCAAGTTAAAAAACCACGACAACAACAAAGCATGTATGTGAGAACATTACCTGCGCGACGATCATCCTTAGATTTGGATCTACAGTCGGTGAAAATGATACATAAATCAAGGGAAGTGAAGATGGACGAGTACCATTCCCGGGAGGCAAAGAAAATACAACACATGCATGTATTAATCAATAGATCCCGACTCCAAAATGAATACTCTGCCTTGCTTATTCATCCCCCATAGCTAACTCCAATGCATAATCATCTCTATCCTGCATCATGAACATACTGTACAAGTAAGATACCATTACACTAGCTTCTTGGCGTTAGCTTAATCATTCTTCTTTTGTTCCTCACACGAGATTTGTTTTCAGTCCGAGGTCTCCACGTGATATCAATCTTAATTTCGAAATGACCCCATGGTATCATTCTTAAGCTTTTTATTAGAAATTTGAAAAAATTCTAGAGAATGACGAGGAACTCACAATTGGTCCCCGGGCAAAATATCTGCCAAATTGAAGCCAATATACCTGTAGGTGCAAATATTTCAGATTTCTATAACCAGATCAATGGAAAGACAATTAGAAAAAATAAATAATACACGCTCCATTCAGGTGGTTGATGATAATTTCTTTAAGAACAGATGTGGAAATTAGGACGGTGCAAAACACCATCATATACCAAATAATTCCATCAAAAGAAAAGAGATCGGTAATTGCAACAGGGAAAGGTCCAAGAGTTTGAGTACTAAATCACATCGGATAACAGAAAAATGACTCAGATTTTCGTTAGAGGTGAGTATACTTTATATGCTATTCCAATCTCAATGAAATAGATTCGAACTTTATGACATCCAAATAAGATCTTTACATTTCCAGAAAGAGAAAGGTAGAACTCAGTAGATTACCTCATCCTCGTCTTGCGTTTCTACTTCAAGGTCAGATGATGGATAGCCCACACAGAGAAGTGCATACCCCTGCATTTCAGACAAGATTACAACTATTCAGGAATACTTTAATCATAACTTTGCATTATTAGTTTCAAATAGTTTCTACATTGTCGAGAAATATGATCAGTTTGTGACTACCAGGACTTGTTTTAATAACATTGTAGGGGGAGGTTGCATCGACACCTTCGAAGCACTACAGGTCAAATTCATGTGTACACCCAAGGATTAATATTGCGTGTGGCGCACACAAGAACCCCTGCACATAAAGGACTAGTTCCCAAAAAATTTGGCAGATCAAAACCCCATAAGTTTCACATTATGTAAGCAATTAGGAAGGCCATATACTTCTCCAATTGTATGTGTTCTTGTTTCAACCTTGATACATTATCTCAAGATGCTAATACAAAAGTAGTAGCCCTGACATTCGTTTCTTGTTTTCTATGATTTATTCACCGAACAAACCCAGTGTTCAAGTAAACTCGAAAACATAAGATGATTGACTATCAATGAACAAATCTTTGACACAAAATCAGGAAGTGTGCACATTAATAAAGTCATAAAAAGGCCTCAAGACTACATGCCTTTGATTTCAGTTCAGCAGAAATCCCTAGTGCCTCAGGCTGTCTAAGTTCTCCGGATTTTACGCGTACAGCACAACTAGTACAACAACCTGCCGAGGAAAAACAAGTGGGATTCTATCACAAAATAAATTGGAAAAAGAAAAAAAAGGAAACAAACCACATCAAATCATGTCCTACAGATTGAATTGGAAAAATTCAACGTCACATTATAACCCATCCAGGATGAATGTGGCTACAATACATACATTTACTTAATACATTCACCATCTAACAGTCAAATACGCAACCAAAAACAGATAATATCATATATGCCAACATTTGACTGTAAGATGGTGAATGTATTAAGTAAATGCATGTAACCATAGCCAGTCCCGAGTTTTAATCCACTTCAAGAAATTTATTAGTAAAAAATGAATAAACGAACAGTACCGTGCCTGCAAGCGAATGGAAGAGTGATATCCTGCGACTCTGCTGTGTGCAATATGTACTGGTCCTGAAATTTCAATTTCACTACGTTCACTTAATTTTCTATGGAAAATAGAGAGAATTTTCTCTGAATTTCTCAGCAACCAAACAAACAAAGAAAGAGAAGGCAAGACTCGGCAATTACCTCAGGGACGAGGAACTGGTGGGAGACGCCTCGTTGTCGGTCGTGAACTGTGACTGTGTGTGTGGGAACTGAAGGAGAGTAGTCACCGGTTCGGTCGTTGACAGCCACCTGGGTTTGGAGCTCGGAAGTCGTGTTGCGGCGCCATTTGGTTATGTTGGAGTGGTGGGTGACGGTGTTCGGCCAAATGATTTGTCGGTTGAGTGGCGGTTTCCGGTGGATAGAAAGGGAAATGCAGGGATTGCAGGGAATGGCATGGTCCATGACTCTAACTCTGGCTGACGGGTAAGCCATGCGCAGTTAAGAAGATAACGAAGATCCTATTTGGAACCATAAATAGTTACGACCAATCAGAGAGTGCCACGTAAAATATAATATCAGAAAGACGAAGCTCCCCTTGACAGGATAAGCCGACCGTTATCTAAACCCTAACGGGCTAAAACAGGTTAATCCAAGAGAGGCAGAAGTCGACAACTATCATGCCCAACTGATCCCCGCATGTTCACCACGTCATGTACATATCGTTGGCGTAGCGGTGGGTCGGTGGACGTCTCGTACGCTCGACGGTGTCTTCCAATCTTCTACTCCTTAATTTGCTCTATATATAAGAATGAAATATGATTTTGTTGTGATACACAGAAGGCAAGAGGAGAATTAATCAAGTAATTAGCTCGACAGATAGACATGCAGTCTGCAAAGGAGAAGCTAAGCAATATGGCCAGTGCTGCCAAGGAGCACGTAGACATATACAAAGCTAAAGCTCAAGAGAAGGTGCTTCCATCTTGCATCTTGCATCTATTCACTATTTACAGTATACAGACTGTTTGGTTTGGATTGTTGAAAATACGGAATGAGCACCGTAAAGTGTTTCTAAGATAAAATTATTTGAGGATTTCTCAACCGAAGGAGACTTTATATATATATAAGCTCCTTAATTAATTGGGATATTAGAAAGATTAGAAATTTGAAAAAAATTATATATATATTGGAATCGTTGTTTAGTTGTATATATTTAGTAATTAATGTTAATAACGTCGGATGTCTGTTGGAATTGTTATTTTTATGTTGAAACTGTAAGCAGGTGGTGAAGGCGACAGCAAAAACGGACGAAGAGAGGGAAATAGCGAGCCAGATAAGAAGAGCGAAAGAAGCAAAAGCAAAGATGGAGTTTCATGAGGCCAAAACCAAGCACTCTGCTGAAAAATCGACTGCTAGTGCAGAGAATAAATCCCATCTCCTCCATGGACAGGATGATCAGCCTGTGGCTAGGGTTGGTGATGGCCATGGTAATGATCACCAACCTCACGATGCGGGTCCTCTGCCTAAAACCACAGTTCCACAGTTCCGGCATACCCACTTGGAGGTTATCGCACCCACAAGTTTCCCTTGAAATAAATGTACTACTTTCTTTCTGGGGACTGTAAACCCTAGGTTTTGAATAATCATGGAAGTAAAAGTTTACTTATTTAACCAGGGTTTAAGATCAAAGTTTATGTGCAGCTCTGTAAATTGCTCACTCTTGTAGGGTATTTGTTACAAATGGTCTTTTATGTATTGTAAAGTAGTCATTTTGGTCTTTAATGTTTTAAACTCATCAGTTTGGTCTTTCATTTATTGACCTGCTCATCAACATTGTTTCTAACCTTCAATTCCGTTGAGAATTATGTTAGTATGCTAACGTGTCATTTATGTGGGTTCTATGATCTTTTCAATTTAGAGGGGATTTGAATGAATAAGTTTTCTTTATGAGTATTTCGTCTTGTACCCTTTAGTTGGTCATAATTTTTTTAATTTCTCCCTTCACAAGCCTTGAAATTGAGTGAGTAATCTATCCTAATCGAATTTTACATAACAAACGAGTATGCATGTGGAATCTACAAGTAAGATAGTGGCGATCATTTGTTCACTAGAGTATTCTGAATATCAGAGAAATTTCTTAGATGAGAGCATGAGAACAATAGAATTTCATTATAGAGTAAACAAAACAAAAAAAACAAAAAAGCAATACAAAATTAGGGGTGGATACAAAACTAACCGGACTAACCAAATCGACCGATCCGAACCATATTGGTCCATTTGGTTTGGTTTAAGAAAAATGTTAAACAATTCAAACATCAGATTGAATCGATTTACTTTTGGTTTGGTTCGGTTTTGATACTTTTGAAACTAGACTAAAATAAATCCGAATCAAACAGATTAACAATGGTTTGGTTTTGTTCGATTTCAATGATAGTATTAGTCAAAGCCGAAGCAAACCGTTGAATACTAGTTAATTCAATTATATTTTTAAAGTCAAACCAAATTAAATCGATCAGTGCCCACCCCATACAAAACATGGTGAAACAGATTTCCACCAACAAAAACAAAAACCAAATCCCCTCCTACATTATTAAAGAACTCTAGAAACTATCCTACATCAGCTCCCCAATCTAATAAAATCACAGAAAGTGACAGATACACTATGGCTGGAGAAAGAAAGAGAACCCAAAATGAGGGCAAAAACCTGACATTTCAGAGTTTTGTTCTAGGAAAATAATTTTCACACAACCCTCTTAATTCCTCGTTTTTTGAATTGATTGAGTTAAAAAGATAATCAAACTATAAAAATAAACATGAACGTGCAAAAAACAAAGGGTAATGCCACAAAGAATGAACCTTACCTTTCTTCCACCATCAGAGACAACATTTCCACAACGAATGTTCGAGTGTTATAAAGAATGAATAAGACTCGATCTGACCATTTAAACGACATATCGATGTTGATCACAGAAAACACCAGAACACAGAATTAGCATTACCACTACTAGTGTATATTACTGAATTATACGAAATGTTTACACTCAACTCCTACATGCAAGTCCATGAAGACAGGTCCAAGATGCTCTGTTGCCAACCATCAGTACAACCCAAAACCTTAAGGAACCAACCAGTTTTCAAACCGTAAACCTTAGGTATTAATATAATGGGACATAGTCCTCCACATTTCTAGTCCGCACCAGAACACGGATGACAAATTCACTCAAAAGTTAAAAGACCGCTAAAATTATATTAAAAACTCCCTGGACTTGATAATCTGTTCTAGAAGTCTTCATCTCCACTGTGATGTACCCCGGTATTCCACGCGCTGTCTGATTTTCCCATCATGCAAGGCCTGAGTCTTCACTTTAGCTGGCTTGGTATTGTGTTTCACTTCAAACCTTGGTAATGCCCTATTATTTTCTGTACTGATTGACATCCCTGGGAAGACCTCATCAAGGAACTCGTCTGCTACATCTCCATCCTCGTCTATCCTGAGTCTCTTTGCATGCCATTTTAGACCCTGGATGCAGAGATAATAGGAGTTGAGTAACGTTATCTGCTTCGCTCCAGCCATGGAGATAAATATGATCCAAAGTACGAGCTTATACCAAAAACAACAAAGAAAATCCATAAAGTGTTGTTACAAGAAGGAAAACAAAATTGCCAGAAAAATACTATAATGACATTTCATTTCCTTGGCATTTGAATTATCTCCCGGCTTCTGACTATTTCATTTTCATCTCCCTGTTCTACAGCATAACTGACACATCTAGATTAATAGCATATGGAATGACACAGATTCTAATCACCACTGCATAAACTACACTGTGCAACCAACCAACCCCAATCTTAAAAAGTAATTAGGATAAGTGTATCCCGGAACAGAGGGAATCAAGGCCAATGAAAGAACCACCACGCTGTACACTTTCATTAATCGAAAAGAAAAGTGCAATTTTAATGGAATAATAACTGTGGTTCTCCTAGAACTATTCAGTGTTATAGTTTCAATTATAGAAGATGTGAAATTAATTCCAGATATTTAAAGATCTGAAGTCCATAAGTGGATCTACCCACCGCAAATTGGCATTGGCATTGTTTCAGGTCTTTGTGCAATAGAACTTACTCCAGGGTAAGAAATAAAACAAACACCATTAAAACTCCCCTGGGTGAATATGGAAAAACATAATATCTATAAACAGAAAAGGAATCTTCATTTCAATATTCTCATGCTTTCTTCACTAGCAGAAGAAAAGTTGACTCGACAGGAAATATGAGGGATACTCCGACTTTCTTCTTCAGGGAAACTCTTAAGGAAAGCTGTGGACAGAACACAACTGTCCCAAGTACACAAAGTTCATTCCTACAATAAAAAGAGATGAAGAGCTGTCTACAGAGAAATCCCACAAGTCAGCCACGATCACTTGTCTCCCTCTATCAAACACAATGGCTTCCGAAGGGATAATACAATTCTGGTTGTATAACTGAACACTTGATTATCCCAAAGCCAAAACAAGAGGAAGAAATTGACAGAGTCCCAGAGATCAACACCATTAAAGAGATGTGCGGCAATGCCAGTCCCAGCTCACCCTAACCACCCCTTTGTTCCTGTAGCGTAAGAAGCTTCAACCACCCTGGCATAATATGCATGCTCATCTACACAGACTAAGTTAAGTCCGACATTGTGCATTTGGATGAGGGACATCAAGGTTCCATGAAACTTAGGCTAAATTTATTAGAAATTCACTACAAAAATTAGACGGGCAGACTTGAAAATGACTGGATGCATTACATTTGGGTAGTTCGTTGATGGTGTTCTCGTAGTGCATTTTTAAGAATCAAGTCTAAAGTTACAAAGACTGCAAAACTCACTCGTCCAAACATTCGAAATGAAACAAATCCCGACCCACACTACCCATAGTCTCTCAATTTCCACACAGTAATTGATTTTATCTAAATTCGGCTCATCCGCCAGTCATATGCCTAGTCACATTACAAAATTTCCCACATCTTACTAAACAATGGCAGCAAAGCAAATCACAGTCAAAGAATAAAGTCACAGAAACCAAGCAATTGAAACAGAACACTCTTCAAATTTTGACCTAACACTGCAAAATTACGACTCTTCCAAAACCATTCAATCAATCAATCAATCGAAATCGAGGTACCTGGACACCGCCGTCGCCGGAGCGGCAAGGAACGAGGACGGGACCGGGTAGGTTCCGATCAACGACGACTTGGCGGGGAACGCTGAAGCCTTTGCGGGGAAGCCCAGTTTCTTGAAAGTGGGGCCGATTGTGGGCTTGATCATCGTCTTCGTCTTCCTCCTCGTTGTCTTTGACTTCGGGCCCGTCGTCCTTGGCAAACCCTAGAAACCCCGCTATCCTCCTCAACAGCCTCATCTACTTCTACTGAGCGGACGGTACTCCCGACGATGCCGTATTAGAAGGAGGTCCGACTTCCGAGAGGGAGTGTGAGATCCCGTAATTGTTGATGGATTGGCCAATTCGTGGTCTCTTCGTTTTCTTATATAAATGCATATAAAAAATCAAATGTTTTCTTTTGTATTTATTTTTTATTTTCCTAAAGAAAACAAATCATTTTGCATCGTGCATGTGCATCAATGCAAAAAAAAAAAAAAAAAAATCAGAATATGCCTTCATGAAATGATGAGAAAATCCGACAAAAAATAATAATGAGAAAATCTAACATACAATTTTTATTTTTATTTTTTACAAACGATATTATATACACTAAAATATACAATAAGTTAATAATAATGTGGTTTAAATTCGCTTTTGACGATAATCAAACATACATCTCACTTAACAAAACACTTATTGTCAATTAAAACGAATAAAATTATCATTGTAACCCTTTAATCAAAACTAAACACAAATAAAAAATATGGTCGGTACTCTAATCCAAAGAAATGATAACTGTAACTACCTTGATTGGCTCAAGCCTCCTCCTCAGATGTTGATTGATATTTTCCCCAATGAAGTAAGCAAACCCAAGTAAGGCGATAATGGCCATTATAGTCACCCAATTTTTTAAAATTTAACAATGCATTTATTATTATTATTATTACTATTATTATTATTATTATTATTATTTTAACAAACGATATTATTTATACTAAGGGAAGGGAGTTGGGCTTAGCCTCACAATAGGCTAGCAATAATGTGGTTTAAATTCGTTTTTGACGGTAATCGAACTTAAAATCTCTCACTTACAAATAGAGAAGAATATCACTAACCGTAATACTAAGTGACCATGTAACAATGCACTTTGTTATCAATTAATTTTTTAAAAAGTTATCAATAAATTGCCTAAATGAATTAAGTTTTCATATTTTACCTTTCCAACGATGTCATCATGAATGATAAATTGAATGAAACTTTTTTAAATTTGGCCCAAGCATGGCACAACACGAAATTCGTAGAGTTCATCATAAACTGGTTGGGTCAGCCTGACTCATTGTACACTTTTAAGAGTAACCTATTCATACTAGAGTACAGTACCCTAGAAACCCTTAATGGTCACTATTCTCAAATAAAGTTGTTTGTATCATATTTAACCAATCCCGAAATTACTGAGCACCGGTCAACGTTATACCATCAAGGACCCATAAGAGTTTCCCTCCAACCAGGAGGCCAATCACAGTGCGACACGTGTCGACATCATAAGCCAATCATAGCGCGATACGTGTCAACATCAGAAGCCAATCACAACACGACACGTGTCAATGTCAGAACAAAGCTAGAAACTCTATTCTATAAAAGGAGATCATTCTCCACAATATTTCCTAATGTCATTTATACTAAATCATTCACTAGTACTCACTAAATGAGAGTTTGAATCTATGTACTTGTGCAAACCCTTCACAATTAATGAGGACTCCTCTACTCCGTGGACGTAGCCAATCTGGGTGAACCACGTACATCTTGTGTGTTTCTTCCCTGTCTCTATCCATTAACATACTTACCTACACTAGTGACCGAAGCAATCTAGCGAAGGTCACAAACTTAACATTTTCTATTGTACCAAAGTCCTCACTAATTTTGTGCATCAACATTTGGCGCCGTCTGTGGGAACGACACTTATTCCCACTCTCTTCAGCTTTGTTAAGCTGGTTTCCACCATTCGTACACTCTCTTTTGACCAAGCATCCCTCTCCAACATGGGAAGCGAAGGAAGCCACAACACGCAAAATGACACCCCTCTTGCACTTGGTGCAAGGCAACGAAAGAAGGAAAGAAAAAGGGTTGCTCTTCAAGCTGAAGTCGATGAGCTAGAAGCTCAGAACAACAAGATAGCAATGAAGAATGAGGTCCTCCAAAAGCAGTATGAAAAGTTCTTTGAGACGCTTCACGAAACTAGGCGTACTCAAACACGTGAGCTCGTTACCCCTGTGGACATCAACCATCATCTGGGTGCCCCCCAACACGGAGGGTCACCTTCCTTCGACATGGGTATCCCTGATGAGGAGCGAGCTAATCATCAAAACATTGATCAACATGAGACTTCTCTCAACCCAGCTGCTTCGACCCGAAGTAGGAGAAATGGAGAAAGACACCTCATTACAGAAGGAGTGGACGGATCATTGGGTCATTCGCAACTGTCGAGATTTCCTAAAGTAATGTCGAGACAATCTCATCCATGTAAGCTCGAAGATCAATGACCCAATGATCTCTGAAAGACTCGGTCCCCTCCCATGTCCCAGGCCGGCTACCAATTTGAGGATGAGGCAACAAGTCCTAGAGAAACACGAAGGTATAGGGGACTCAGAGATGCTCCGACAGACATACCTTGGAAATCAATACGGCGAGTCCAGGGAAAAATCACATGCTCTTGATCAAACCTTCATACTTCCAAGAGGAGATGGAGATTTACGAAAGAAAGCTCCATGGTACATGACTCCACTCAAGACCCTCTTGTCCTACAACTTCTTAAGGAAGTAAACAAGTTGAAGGCCGAACGACAAGCTTAGATTCCTGATTGGAACCAACCTAGGCCTGACCCTCTTACAAGGAAGATCCTCGACACCCCCTCCAAGCAAAGACAAAGCAGAAGCTTGGCTTGCAACTCTATACTGGAAAGGAGTACCCGATTGAACACCTTAACCTTTTTTAATCCACCATGGCATACCGGATGCACACCGACAAAGAGCGATGTCTTCTCTTCCCCTCTACCCTCTCTGGTGGAGCTCTAAACTAATATTGCCGTCTTCCACTTGAGACGGTAGACTCATTTGAGGAATTGACGAAACTGTTTGTTTCTCAACAAATTTTCCAGATCGATCGCTTGCACTCTGTGAATGACTTGTACACTATTCGCCAGAAGCCAGATGAGTCATTACGTATGTATGCTGGCCATTTCAGCCATAAGTATTCCTGTAATGCTGAGGCAGGCCTTCACGACAGGCCTATGTGACTGTTTCTTTAAGTACATGATCAATGCCAACATTTGGAAGACTTACTCTGAGGTGATGGCCCAGGCTTATAACCATGCCTCCGCCGAGGCAAGGACATACTAAGGGAAACTGCCCACAGCCACCACTTATCAACAAGTAGGGAGTGGAAGCCAAATCCAACCAAGCAAGTGTTCAGCTACATTAAGTGCCTTGAAAGCTTTAGCAAACATGATATTGACCAAAGCCCCCATGTCTACCAAGATTCGTCTTACTTCAAAGTTGGTTATGTGAGCTTCCACGATCAATGGGTCGTTGTGAGGGTAGATGATACCTCTTTCTTCCTCAGGGTAAAAACATATTGGATCCCAGTTAGACTTTTGATACTTGCCTCCCCTGATGTCTTCCATGTGAAACACTTGGTGGCCAGACCTTAAAGCTCATTCATTATTTTTCATGGCCCTGTTCTAAGATTTAGATATAGGTGTGCCACCACTTATAGAATATATCACATTCATCTGGCGTTGGTTACGGTTATCCCTTAGAAGGTGAATGAGGAATTGATCAATTTTTCCTTCACGTGCCAAAGCTTTAATATGATCACGAAGGGTGATACACTTCTCGCCATTCTGGCCATTATGCTCGTGGTAGCAGCAAAACGTGCCCGTGTTCTTCGTGGGCTTGTAACCCGACTGCCTCGGCATTGGCTTCGGTATTAGGCGTGTTATGCTGGGGTAAATGGCCACGCATGTGGCGTTCAAAGGTGTGTATGTCTCATACCTCGGGGTAGGGCCTATCCTGACACGTATTTGGCTCACTGTGTTGACTGCCTGGGGGGGCATTATCGTGGCGATACCCTTGGTTATCGCGATAGTGTCCCTTACTCCTTTTACTAAAATGAGACTAGTGAGGATGTAAATCTTTCATTTTGCCCTGAGATTGATATGTCTGTTGACTTGGCGAAGTATTAAGTAATGCAGGGGGAGGCACCGCTGCCGTTTGGATGGTAGAGGGATCGCTCGATTTCTCCTCTGATAGGTTTCTCCGGTGATATCGTGCAACATTTGGGGAGCATACATTTACCTTTCACCATTGGTACAGGCCCTTACATAGTTACCATTACCATTAACTTCTTGGTGGTTGATTGCCCAACGGTATACAATGTCATCTTAGGACGCACAGGCATCAATAATCTCAAGGCCATGGTATCCACACATATGTTGTTGATGAAATTTCCAACCCCTTATGGCAATAGTTACATCAGATGAGATCAACTTAGTGCACGATCATGTTACAACACTTCGGTCAAGCAACAACACCTGCATGTGCCCAAGGAGACCCTTTCTATACATGACCAAGTCATAAAGACCAGCCCAGACAAAGCCAACTTGGATCTTCACGGTGGCAACAGTCAACCCGACGATCCTCGAGATGACTTTTTCACCAAGCAAGCACAACCCGCTGAAGAGTTGGAGAAGGTTTTTATCTCAAAATATTATCCGGATCGCATGGTGAAGATTGGCACCACCTTGTCACCACTCATTCGATTGGCATTGATCTCTTTTTTGCAAGAGAACACTGAGGTCTTCGCTTGGTCATACGAGGACATGCTAGGCATCTCTCTCGATATCATCTGTCATTGCTTAAGTATTGACCCCAAGACCAAGCCAGTGAGACAGAAGCGAAGATCATATGACGCTGAACGATATGAGGCAATGAAGGTAGAAGTTGAAAAACTCAAAGGCATAGGCTTCGTCCATGAAGTCAATTATCCAACGTGGGTAGCAAATGTTGTCCTTGTTAAGAAGAATATGACCAAGGAAAGTCTCCTGCTTCAAAATGTCTTGTGGAGAATGTGTGTCAATTACACCGACCTAAACAAAGGATGCTTGAATGATAGCTTTCCTCTTCCTCTCATAGACAGACTTATAGACTCTACGACAAGGTGTGAACTCCTGAGCTTCATGGATGCTTACTCAGGATACTACCAAATCCTCATGAACCCTCCGGACCAAGAACACATAGCCTTCACTACTGATAGGGGACTATATTGCTATAAAGTCATGCCCTTCGGCCTAAAGAATGTAGGAGCGACTTATCAGATACTGGTCAATTCAATGTTTGCCGAATAGATTGGGAAAAGCATGGGAGTTTACGTTGATGATATGCTAGTCAAGAGCAAACATGTTGATCAACACATCACCAACCTATCTGAAACTTTCACCATTCTGAAGAGGTATCGAATGAGGTTGAACCCCAAC